TTTGTATTTTGAACTTTTTTTTATAAGTTAAAGCAACTTAAACATTTCTCATTATAACTTATTAATAACACATACTGTCTGCACTAAATTATTTAGTTCTTAAAATAGAAAAAGGGTTTAAGTAATAAAATTTACATTGACATTATCAACAAATTACATTACCCTGACTTAAAAAAAAAAATTCACAATTACACTAACCTGACTTATTAGTTAGAAACAAAATGAGAACTTATAGAAATTAACTATAATTTCAGTTTAGTGCAAAGAACACATTTCTAATCATAATAGTTTTAATAACTAATTTCTAATAACTGTTTTATTTTATCTTTGCCATGGTGACAGTACATAAGATTTTACTAGATATTTTTCGAGATACTCAGCTTAAAGTGACATTTAAGGCTTAACTAGGTTAATAAGGCAAGTTAGGGTAATTAGGCAAGTCAACAATGGTTGTAAACAATCAAAAAACATTGCTTAAGGGGCTAATTATATTGACCTTCAAATGTTTTTAAATGATTAAATACTGCTTTAATTCTAGCCAAAATAAAACAAATAAGACTTTCTCCAGAAGAAAAAATATTATAGGAAATAGTGTGAAAAAATCTCATTCATTCATTCATTTTCTTGTCGGCTTAGTCCCTTTATTAATCTGGCGTTGCCACAGCGGAATGAACCGCCAACTTATCCAGCAAGTTTTTAATGTGAAAAAATCTTTGCTCTGTTAAACATTATGTAGTATATATTTAAAAAAGAAAACCTCAACTGTTCATTTTTAAGCTTTAATTGCGAGAGACGGCAAGGCTCATTGCCATACTGTAGAGGAATCCAAACTGTCTGATACGCTCTAACAGCTCGAGTCTTGCCAAGTACTCCACATTCCCCAGATAGTGTGAAGCAGACAAAAGCATTCCATTCAGGAAGAGCCGCTCGATCCTCCTACCAAAGTAGGAAGCAAATCTTCCCAAAGGCCTGAGAGCCTCAAAGACTATGCAAATGTGAACTGAACACACAAGAGCTGAGTTTCTCTTCAATGAAAAGCTCCCCCACGCTGCGTGTATACTTGGATTGGAAGAACAGACTTGGCCAAAGTTTTGAGCACCCCGAACAAAATCAGCTGGGAAAACTGTCACTGTCTGTTTTACACAAAAGCCGAATGTGGTCAAAATGTATATAGAGAATGGGCTTTGAAACTGTGAAGCTATGACGTACTATAAAAGAACTTAATAAAACTTATGGGTAACACTTTAGTTTATTAACTACTGGCCTATTAACTGCCTATTATTAAGATATTAACTGTTCATTAGTGGTTATAAAGTGTGAACTTATTCTGAATCCCTAATCCTACCCCAACCTAAACCCAACTTTTACCTTATTAACTATTAATAAACATAATTAAGCTTGTAGTTTTAGTCATTGGTGGTTAATACTGTGAATTGTGACCTAAATTAAAGTGTTACCAACTTATGCACTATTTTTCAAGTATTCTAAAGCCATACAATCACACAAAGCAAGGTTCCATTAGCTAATGTATTTACTAGCAGGAACTAATAATGAACTATGCACTGTAAAATGGCACAAATTGATTAAGTTAATAACAAATGTAAGTGGATTGAACATAAAACAATTAAGTTGTCCAACATAAATCTCAAGAGTTGTGTTGTTTTAGCTCATTTTAAATATGCAGTTTGAACAAGCAGCAAAATCCTCTTTTGAGTGCTCTTGTACAGCATTTGTTAATCATAGTTCGACATTTAATAATGCATTATTAAAACCAAATTCAAGCTTGTTAATAGTAGTTAATGCACTGTTAACATGAACTTTATTTCTATTAACATTAATAAAGATTATTAAATACTGTATTAAATGTATTGTTCATTGTCATTTTATTAATAAATAAATTTTTTTATTTTATTTCTAAATAAATGTTTTTATTTTATTTATTAAGAAATGTTTTTTTTACTTTATTTATAAATATTTTGTATTTTATTTCTAAATAAATGTTTTATTTTATTTATTAAGAAATGTTTTTTACTTTATTTATAAATATTTTGTATTTTTTTAATAAATAAATGTTTTTATTTTATTTATTAAGAAATGTTTTATTATATTTATATATGTTTTATTTTATTAATAAATGTTTTTTTATTTATAAATAAATATATTTTTATTTTTTTTTAATTAGAAATGTTTTATTTTATTTATAAATATTTTTATTTTATTAATAAATAAATGTTTTTGTTTTATTTATAAATGTTTTTATTTTCTTTATTAAGAATGTTTTTATTTTATTTATAATTATTTTATTTTATTAATAAATACATATTTTTTTATTTATAAATAAATATTTTTATTTTATTCCTGAATAAATATTTTTATTTTATGATTAAGTAAAATAAAACTGAATAAATAAATTAAATAAATACAAAAAACTAATAATAAAAAGTAAAAATTAATTCATTATTTAATTTTTAAAAATTAGTCAAAAAAAATAAGCATCAAAAGTAATTTTGAGTGCTCTTGTATAACACTCTTAATCATAGATCAACATTTTTAAATGCATTATTAAAACCAAATACATGCTTGTAAACATAAATTTAAACACAGATTAAGTTGAAAACTACAAAATTTAATTTGTTTGATTAAATTCAACCCATATAAATAATTTTGCAACAATTTTGCAAAAATCTTTTTTTTAGTGTACGTTTGTAGATTTGTTTCTTATATTCTATGCAAATGCACTGCCCTGCAGAATCATCCAAGTCAATCTAAAATGATGAATTCTATCCAAATAGTTATTCAAGTCATCTGATGAAATTGTATTCGCATTGCAATATATATTGCAGAATAAAAAAATATTGTGTAGCCCTAATACTGTAATGAATATGGTGTTCATTGTTTGATGATGTTAGTAAATACATTAACATTGACAACCTAATTGTAAAGTGTTACCGCCATCATTTACTAAAAGTCTTGAAAGTGTTAATGAAAAAAAAGTGATTGAATCATCTAAATGCATTAGTCCATTTATAGGACTGATTCAGTTCTTGAGTTCTTCATAGGAGGGAAATATTATCAACTCAAGAATGATAACAACAGCTTAAAAGGGGTAGTTCCCTCAAAAATGAACATTTACACACTGCTTACTCTCCATGGAGTGGTTTTAAACCTTTTATTCTCTTCTTTGAACTAAAGATGATATTCTGAAGAGAGCTGAAAACCTGTAACCATTGACTTTCAATGAAAAAAAATACTATAAAGGTAAATGGTTACAGGTTTTCAACATTTTCCAAAATATCTTCTTTTGTGTTGAATAGAAAAAGAAACACAAAGGACGACTAAATGATGACTGAATTTACATATATTTAATTTCTAAGTGAATGATTGCTTTATTAATGAATGTCGACAATAACAGACATGCTGTAAACATGTATAAAATATTCATTAATAAGTCCATTCATCATTTCCAAAACAAACCCTCTGAGGCACAACCACAGCAGTGTAAAGAGCAAACTTTACACAAATCAAACACGAACATGTACATAAAATCCCGGAGTGGTTTTATTTCCAGCCTCCACCAGGAACACTCAGTATAACAGCAACCCTGTTACCCTGAACAAAATGCGTGCTGTTTGCTTTAAAACGTCACATTACACAATCACAGGGAGGCTCGAATTGGAAAAGGGGCTGGAGACGGGGCTAATGAATGGCCCCATATATCGTCAAGTGGGCTCCGCGTAACCTGAGTTGAAAATGCTCAGTGTAAATCACATCATTTATTACAAGTCTCGCTACAATAGAGCTCAAAGAGTGCTTTTGTGGCACGGTCGTAATAAATGATGCGATCTGCACTTTGCTTTTGGGTCATACCAGTCATCCAATAAATGCATGGTTGGTTACACACACAAATTACTGCTGTTCAGAGCCGGAGCCAGCCGGTTGCCAAGTTAAGGAGTATTTAACTAGTGAAACAGTACTGCTTTTAAAAGGGCAAGATGCTTTCATCCCATTCTCTGCTGCCTTTCCTAATAATAAATAGCATGTCCGTTAATACTTCAATGTGTATACACCTTTATATATTGTGTGTGCTATTCATCTTTCTCAATAAAAGGTGCTCTTTCGTTTTAGTTACACAAAACCCTGTTAGAATGATGTACATGGTATCTATCTATCTATCTATCTATCTATCTATCTATCTATCTATCTATCTATCTATCTATCTATCTCAAGAGTTAAAAAACAGATGCTCCTTCATTTATATAGTCACACAAAACCCTCGTAAAATGATGTACATGTAATTTCTACATATTTGACATACTAGTAATCTACTACTAATACTGCTAATCTATCTATCTATCTATCTATCTATCTATCTATCTATCTATCTATCTATCTATCTATCTATCTATCTATCTATCTATCTATCACAACAGATTCAATATCAGATGCTCTTTCATTTTAAAAAGTCACACAAAACCCTCATTAAATGATGTACATGTAATTTCTACATATCTATCTATCTATCTATCTATCTATCTATCTATCTATCTATCTATCTATCTATCTATCTATCTATCTATCTATCTATTTATATATCTATCTATCTATCTATTTATATATCTATCTATCTATCTATCTATCTATCTATCTATCTATCTATCTATCTATCTATTTATATATCTATCTATCTATCTATTTATATATCTATCTATCTATCTATCTATCTATCTATCTATCTATCTATCTATCTATCTATCTATCTATCTATCTATCTATCTATCTATCTATCTATCTATCTATCTATCCATCCATCACAACAGATTCAATAACAGATCCTCGTCTGCTAACGTTACAGTTCAATAACAGATGCTCTTTCTTTTAAAAGTCACACTAAACCCTGGTAGAATGACGTACATGTAATTTCTACCTATATAACACTAGTTAGCAGATGAGTTTGAAGTATAGTTTACGGAAATAGCGCTCATGAATGAAGAGCCACTTACTTTGTACTTCATCTTGCGCGTCCTCCGCTCTTTAATAACTCCAGTGAGAAGCAAAATCCGAGTTCAGGTCAGAATAAACTCTTCTTTTATCGTTCAAACGAGGCTAGACGCGCGTTTTGCTCATGTTTGCTGCGTCTCTTGGGGTCGGAGTGAATGATAACGGTGCGTGTGTTCAGGTTTAGAAGGTCTGTAGTAACTGTGAGCGGGAGGGAGCGCGCAAAAACACAGTACTCCGAACCTGCGAGAGCTCATTTGCATAAAGCAACGCTCATTGGTCAGCGGTTGCGGGGACGCGCTTCTCGTTACGTCACTTCAGTCCGAGGACCAGACGTTGCGGAATTTGGAGAGTAAACTTTTATTAATACGCCATAAAAGGCGGCGTCGACATGTCCTAGGAGGTAACGTAACGCAGTTGTGTATTAGTCACGATCTATAGTAGGCTATTAGCTCACTGCTCTATATAAAGTGCATACCGGGCACACAATGAACGATAACTAGAGATTATTAGTTTGTAAACCATTTTTTATTAACACTACATGTTATGACTCTTATTCAGCTCCTTGATATGTTTTTCAAAATTCCTTTAATCGTAAACGTACTATTTCAGAAAGGAGCATGAATGAAAATAAATATAGTTGTAATAATTAATTCCCATAACTTTCTGTCATGTTTTTATCTTTTTTTCATGATATTTCATGATCATTCTGCTAATTTCACTGTCTGAAGTGAGCATAAATACATTATATATTAGTACCAAACTTGTAGCCTATATTTAAACTTTAATCTTTAATAAATATGATTGTATTTTACTTGTAACTGAACTTTTTTGTAACTTTACTTGTTACTTAATAAATTAAGTAAAACCTACTCAGCTTTCTGATATTTTGCGACTGCTGTTCCCATCATGCACGGGGGCATCTAGCATTTTTCATAGTTTTTCAGCAGTAATTACAATGTTATTTCACTTAAAATTGCGCATCTATGTTCCAAAAATAAATTACTATATTAAAAAAATTATAATAATCCACTGTGATAGCTTTACTTAAAGATTATTTACTAGTTTTTGTCAGGGTATTTCCAGGTTTTTCATAGGTTTTAGAACTCGGTTGATTGCTTTGATTTGGATTATACATGACAGTCTTGAGAAATAGCTTTGTCTCAACTTTGGATGTAAGTTTGTAGCCTGTGGGTACCTTAATGTGGGATTTTGATCAATCTCTTTTAGTCCTTGATGTCAAACAGCTTCAACTAGTTTATTTGTCAAACATGTTTTTAAGCCTCTTATATCTGCATCACTGTAGGCTGGCATTTTCGAGAGTGGCAACTGTTACCACCATTACCACATGCACTAGAATAAGGGACTAGTCTTACATAAGCCTCGAGACGAAAGTTTAAATGTGGTTGGTTGGGATTGATGCAAGAATGTTGCTGGTTTATGTTTTCCTCCAATCCTTCTCAAATGCAATCACAGTCTTAAAACAAGCGGTGCTCCAAGATTTACCTCTCTGTTTCCACTGGATTGTTTAACTTCCCATTTAAAAGGATTTTGTTTAGTTGTTGCTGCTTCTAGGTTTGACTTGCCATTCGACAAACAAATTAAGTGTTGAAGAATGAATATCATCTGTTGTGGTTTCCTGTTCGGAACAGTGTAGGTTGTTTGTGTGCTCATATGACACCATTGTACGATCTTATTTTTTCTAAATATAGTTTCTGACTGTGCATATTTTCTGTGAGTTTTTTAGCTAAAGAACAAAACAAAGCTTGATGTGCCACGTTGAGTTGTTGGAAACAATAATAGGTTGACGATTGTACTGATAGTTTAATTCTAATCTGTTCTGAATTTTGCATTACAACAAAACCCAGTAGTTAAGAAAGGTTTCATTATGCTTTTTTGTTTGGATTTTTTAACGACACGGTGGCTCAGTGGTTAGCACTGTCGCCTCGCAGCAAGAAGGTTGCTGGTTTGAGTCCCGGTTGGGCCAGTTGGCATTGCATGTTCTTCCCATGTTGGTGTGGGTTTTTAACTAAACTTTTAAACTAAATTGGCTGTAGTGTTTGAGTGTTTGTGTTAATAGGTTTGTATGGGTGTTTCCCATACTGGGTTGCAGCTCGAATGGCATCCACTAAATAAAACATATGCTGAAAAAGTTGGCAGTTCATTCCACTGTGGCAACCCCTAACAAATCAGGGACTAAGCTGAATGAAAATGAATCAATGAATGTTAATAGGCTGACAAGTGTACTGATACTAATAGTATAATTGTAGTCTGCAATTTAATCATAGTTATGTTTAGATTATTACAAAACCCAGTATTTAAAAAAGGTTTCATTATGATTTTTTGTTTAGATTTTTGGGCGACACGGTGGCTCAGTGGTTAGCACTGTCACCTCACAGCAAGAAGGTTGCTGGTTTGAGTCCCGGCTGCGCCAGTTGGCATTTCTGTGTGGAGTTTGCATGTTCTCCTCATGTTGGTGTGGGTTTCTAACTAAACTTTTAAACTATATTGGCTGTTGTGTATGTTTGTGTGAATAAGTGTGTATGTTTCCCAGTACTGGGTTGCAGCTGGAAGGGCATACGCTGCATAAAACATATGCTGGATGAGTTGGCAGTTCATTCCGCTGTGGCAACCCCTGATGAATAATTGACTAAGCTGAATGAAAATGAATGAAAATAGGCTGACGAGTGTACTGATACTAATAGTTTATTTGTGGTCTGCAATTTAATCGTAGTTATGTTTAGATTAAAACAAAACCCAGTAGCTAGGAAAGGTTTCATTATGCTTTTTTAGTTTAGATTTTTGAATTTTGTGGCTAGTTGTATGAACTTCAGTCATTTTTATAAGTCTTTAAATGTCAGTAAAGGGGATAGTTCACACACAAAAATAAATATTTCCTCACCATTTACTTAACTTTAACTTTTATGAATTTCTTTCTTCTGTTGAACACAAAACAAGATATTCTGAAGAAGTAAAAAAAAAAAAACAGCTTTATTGTCAATTCAGCCACATGTACAGTTCATGTACAGCGTTACTCTCAGACCCTAGGTGCCAAACATAATATTAATATAAAAAGTTGAGTTTTAAAGAAAATAACATTTACAATATATACAATTGTACATAAAATGTAGTCTAAAAATATACACAAGGAATAAAAAATTGTAAACAATACAATTTGACATCCATAGGAGATACAAACAAAAACTATGGAAGTCAATGAATGCTTTTCCCCAAAATTCCTCAATATATCTTTTTGTGCGTGCAACAGAGAAAGAAAAACTCGTAATTCAGTGCTCAGCAGATATGAGCACACCCCTCACACATCTCTCTTTTACATTCATACTTTTAACAGGAAGTTGTGCAATATTATATTTGTGCATATACATTAGATTTGTCAGTACTAAAGCAAAATCTGGAGCTTATCTAACATTTATATGTTATAGAAAAATATTAAATTAAACTTTTAAAAAGAGGAAAAATCAAGAGAAGAAAAACATTTCTAGAAATTTTGTAGGTTGAAATTAATTTTTTGCAATATTTTGCTTGAATTTAATTGTATTATCTTTCAATTTCTAAACATGTTTGGTGACTAAAATATTATTTTAATAAATATATCTGTTTAATAAATTTGTTTTGTTTAAATGCACCAAAATACATTGCCTATATTCATTGAGAAATTGAGAAAAGAATGGGGTGTACTCAATTATGCTGAGCAATGATAAGTAAATGATAAGTTTTTTTATTGAACTTCCCTTTAACTCAAAACAATTAGGCTAGTTTAAATCGAAAATTTAAGATCAAATTAGTTTATCATGGCTGTTTACTGTATGTTCTGTAAAAAATGTGTTAGGTTCCATCCAAATCCATTAAATAAACTTAATTGTTTTTACAAATTTAAGTGGATTAAATGTAAAACAATTAAGTTGCCCCTCCCCCACCCCCCACCGAAAAACAAAATCAAGAATTATGATGTTTCAGCTCATTTTAAATACATTTTTTGACTAAGTAGCTGATTTTACTTTTAAGCCCAAGTAAAATATGCATTAACTGTACCATAAATACTCAACTATACAATAAAGAATTCAAATAAAAAAGCAATAATTTGTGGAAATGTACTCACCAGCAGTTGAGCATCTGTGTGTATGAGAGAGCTATCTTTATAGTGAAGAACAGGATGATGTCGAAGAGGTGAGAGGAAACGCCTTGAATGGCCTCATCTCGCAGTAGGCCGAGGTGTGACTGCCTGTTTGCTTTCGCTGCATATTCATGCACATACAGCAGTGCAGTTATGAACACTGCCTTCAGAAATGTGCAGACTATGAGCTTTTACAACAAATGCACACTCAGCTTCCCATTGCAAAAATACTTTTATTAGAAGTTTGTAAGATTTAATTACATGAAGTTTGTATGGTACATGACTCCTGTTGCATGCTTAATTCGGCAATTTGCATGCAGTTTTCATATTGTAAATAAAGTTGATGTAACAGAAGAAATATGTATTTTTCCTTTAACAGTCAATACATTAAAAGCAAGGTTAATACTTCGAAAATGTAATGGGTCATTCAGGATTTTACAAGATGCATACCAAGCATAGCATGTTAGCTCCTGCTGGTAGATGCTATTGCATTATGGAAATATGTATTGATGTTTATTTAGCATTGCACATGCAATGAATAATGAGTTCACTATACACAAACACCCTGCACAGGGACCAGATCTCAATATTCTGTAGTAATGGAACAGTATTGGGAGTATGTTAGCTTGGGCCTCATGTTTGCCTGCTTGCTCTCCAATTTCTCATGAGTAGTTCCTGACTCAGAGTACCGCTCTTTGTTCCCGGACCACAATCATATCTACAATCATACATCTCAAAGCAGGCGTTTGTCATACATTAGCGGCAGCTGGGTCTCCGACGGGTTAGAAAGAGCTCTGAGATTGTGTTTTTGTGCACCTGTTTCCTTCACAAACATCCTTCAAAACAGCCTTCAGTCTTTTTCTCACTGTAGAAAGTCTAAGCTAGAGGGTTTCAAGGTTGAAACTTGCCTAAGAAAAGGATGAGTTTAAGGGTAAATAATTAAGGTTAGTGAATTGAACACACTCCTAATCCAGTGTGTAGAAAATTATCCTTTGAATTTAGGGTTGTGCGTTGTGTGTTGTGT